TGCTACTGATGACAGGTTTTTATGAATCAGTTTCCACCAACAAAACCCCAGTTTCTTTCGCTTTTATTCATAAAGTGAGATTTGCTTTAATTTACTTTTATTTGGGTGCGCGGCGTTGTCTTTGCTCGTTACTGCTATCTCCAGTTCTTGCCTCGAGTTCCTGACTTGCATCCACGTTCCCCTTCTCTACCCTGTCCCAAATCCTGCTAGCAAACAAGATATAGATCCCTCTCCATCCCTATTATAACATCACTGTTCAAGCAAGCAGTATTTACCTTCCCTACCCCAGTTATCTACGGTAAAAACCAGGAGCACACTTCATCCTTTCCGTTCTTCGCCGCTCCCCTCTCCCCTCCAAATGTACGTTACTTAGTCAGTCGGCAAAGGAACTACGCCATTTAGTCATTATATCCACCTATCCTAGCCCTCCTCCCCCGCCTCGAACGAAACCCACCACATACCGCCCCCATTTCCACCTGCCACATTCAAACTCCCGCCATCCGCCGTAAGGCAGTCCTACCTGCCGTCGGGAAAAAACATTTTTTGCAGCTCGTGTATGAGATGAGCCGAGCCGAGTTATTGTAATTGCCTTGACAAGGCTGAAGATGGTCTTTTTCCTTCGAGAGTTGCTTGAGAGCAATTTATGATTCACTTCAATATACTTTTCATAGACGATTCGTTGTCTCGCTGGGAGAGTCGGACTTCTGACTCTAGCGTGTATGGCTTTGCTTATCACCAGATCATGTTCACCAGCTTTGTTTTGATAACTGTCTTAAAAACATCAAGTAAGAGGCGGAGTATTCAGCATCAAAGTGCAAACGAAAAATGCCTGTCACGAGCTTCAAGCGAAATTCGAAATCAGTCTGCAAAGAGAGTCAACGGCTCAAGGCGACACTCCGACATGGATTTAATAGCACTTCCAGAAAGATGCATATCAGTATGTAGGTTTGCCACTTTGCTGCGTCTTCCCTTCAGCGTTCTTTGTTCGCACTAAAATGTTTCTTATTTGGGAGATTAGCTATAACTACTTGTTTCACAGCTTTTTGCTGCCAATTTTCTTGTGATATTTGTGAAAATTCGGCTAGAGACGATTTGTTTTCTGCCTCCTGCAGTTTTTACGTTGATGCATTTGATAACTTTTGGTATGCCCTTAAAGATTCTTGCACTCTTCCACTTTTGCATTATGAAGTGGTCTTCGCTTTTTTCAGAGATTGAAAATTTTACCTTCTAAAACCATTTGCTAAAATATGTTGATTTTTTGCTAAATATAGTTGGACCTACATAACGTGAAACAACTGCTCACAGAATTTCATTAAAAACAGTTATCGTCAAAATAACAGCTTAATATCTTGCCTTCGCTTCGTCCCAAAATGGACTTTATTTTCAAAAACAGCTGTCATTTCAGAACTACTAATTTTCGGTTTGTACAGCTGTGTCGGAAGCGCGAGTGCATCCCAGTAACATTGCTAGCATCATATGCGGGCTTTCTTGTTTCCCCTGGTAATTTTGTAACTGTAGAAAAAGGACAGGGGAACTGGCCAGGAAAGTCTTCAAATTTAATGCTTTTATAGAAATACCCTAAAATAGTGACACACAGTATATACATAAGCATCCATTGGCTTGAATCTTCAAATCGAAAAGAAGTTTGTCCAGCTCAAATGCATTATGTTTCCAGTTAAATAATGGTTCAACAGCTGAACGTGCCGAAGCGGCTTTCTTTGCTATTTTCGATGGACATGCTGGTAGTGGTGCTGCAATTATGGCTTCGAACTGTCTTCATGAGCATATTCGGGTTCGTACCGGGCTACACCGGACTGGACTACACCAGCTCTAATCTTCCTTTCTTGATTTTTACCGGATTCATCTTCGCAAACTGACTACTTTTCAGAATCGATTATGCCAAGTGCTTGAGACGATAGTGCATTTAGGCAGACAGGAAACATTTTTTGGATGTTACACAAGTTCACCGTCTTCCCAAGGCTTTACTAACAGTTGCAGTTCGCGCAGTGAATATCGCAGTGTCACCTGTAATAGCCTAGTGGTTGGTGCTCTAGAGACGGCATTCATTGATATGGTAAGGATGGTAACATTCTTATTTTCCTTAAAGCACCAAAAATCGTCTTGTGATTCAAGTCCTTAGAAGAAGGCTTTTAGTTTTCAATAACTACCTTTTCCAGGATAGTCAAATAGCAGATGAAAAGCAACTGTGGAAAATACGTGGTGGCTGCGCAGCTCTAGCAGCGTTATTCTTCTTAGGTAAAGTATATGTTGCAAATGCGGGTGATTGTCGGGCATTGTTAGTGACAACAAATCACGTACAGCAAATAAGCCAGGATTTCACACCTGAGACGGAACGCAAACGCTTGCAATTCCTTGTAAGTTCGATTGTCTGCAATTAGTATAAATTTTGAGGAAAAGCACGACGACCAAGGAAGGGGAGAAGGGACAGCAGGAAATGTTGCTTGCAGTGCTGATAGCAGATCGACATCACATATTATTAAGTATTATACGTAAGAGAAAAAAATTACTCGGGCGTTTCCAGAGATGTCGACTGCGTGAAAAAACAACACAAGCAGCAAATGCGGCTTGGGACGTACGAGCTTGGCGTTATCAATTTAGGCACTATGGATGCATACTTATGAAAAGGACTGTTGAAATCGATATCGACTTCACAAATGACCGTAATAGTAGTGACGAATAAAAGGGCATGCGATATCACCGAAATTTTTTTTTTGCTAATTGGCTTTTCCGGCTTCCCAGCTTGAATCCTCTCAGACAGAATGACTCTTCAACACAGTGTAAAACGCTGCTGACACAAATAGGAATTTATGTATTCTCAAGTGCATATTGTAAGCACTGTAAAATAAAATTCATGTCATGG